GCCTTAAGGTTCCCAGCCCGATTCGTAACCACTACGCTACCAGAGTATATTTAGATAGATAGATAAATATCAACCTCTTTCAGATGAACAAACAGGAGTCACCAGAAAAACGGGGTTTGCTTGGGCTCAAATCTAGCCAGTGGCAAAAACTAGACATCAGGCCTCTAAAATTATAGAGGATTTGCTGTCAAATTATGGACTTTCAATTATTTGCTAGTTATAACTTAAATCCTCTATCTCTTCCTTCTCAACTATCATACAGGCACTAAGAGACCATGGGCAAAATTTTCTTGTAGGCAATCAGCTGAGCTGGGCTGATATACAACTCCTTGAGGTCATCTTAATGGCTGAAGAATGCAAACCCAGTGTCCTTTCTGGCTTCCCTCTGCTACAGGTAATTCTATCCATTTAGCTCCCAAGAATTGCAGGGAGAATGAACTCATCATCATCATTTAAGAACTGACTAACTTCTTTATGCCAAGACCTGTGTAGATGTACACAGGTCCCCTAATGAGATATACCTGGAGTGGGAAGGGGGAGACAGGACATGGATAGATGCCACTATAAAGTGGCAAATTAAAACAAAACGATATGGGAAAATAGATGAGGGCCATTTGGGCCAGCATGGGGATTAGTCAGTTTGCTTATGAGACTCAGGTCAAATCTCAAAGGCTTTGCCTGGAACATAGTTGTTGTTGTTGTTAAGTGCCTTTGAGTCAGTTCCAACCCACAGTGACCCTGCACAGGGTTTCCAAGGAGAGGCTGGTGTGCTTGAACCTCCGGCCTTGCAGTTGTAACCAACTTTGCAGTCCAGCGCATTAACCCACAGCACCACACCAGTAGAACCTCAAAAAAGGTTGTTCCTTTCTTCTAGAAAACACGGGGGGGTGGGGGTGGGGGGGGGTCGAACAATATCATTCTAACATAGCCGTTACTGGACAATAACTATTGACTAAAGCGTACATATCCTAAGCAATGTTCCAAGCACGGAATGTACATTACTTCACTGAATTCACTCCACCCTCCAAGTAGATAGGACACGAGACTCAGAAGTTAACTAACTGTTCCTAGGTCACACTGTTAATGGCAGGACTTAGATAAAAAATTAGTCTGTCTGAGCCATTGCCATGCTGCAATGAGTTTCAATGATGGGTAAGACGGAGGAATTTGCACTGACCGCCTAAGACCAGCAGTGTTCCTTAAACAAATAATAAATAAGGGGGATCTGTGGCAGACAGTGCAGACCCGGTCAGGAGCTCAAGACCCTGTGGGCCCAAGCGTTGCAGACCGTCCAAACCATAGGCTCTGAGTATCAGACTTTGGTCACCTAGCAGACATAGCAAACTGGCCCTCATCTGATTATTCAGTATGCTTGCTAGTAATCTCATACATGAGCCCTGGATATCCACAGATAAATGTAAAAACCTTCCCTAGAAGCCGAGACGGTAAAGTTCAAAAAGGCTAAGTTTTTCCACCCCATCCCACCCCCCCAAAAAAAGCTAAAGAGGATAGAGAGAAACACTGTTAACTGTGGTATATGGCGGGGATTATAATCAATGTAATGAAACAAGCTATATGAATGGTTGAATGTGAAACTGATGTTGCGCCCTGTAAACTTTCACTCAATCCACAATAAAAACCTTAAATTAAAAAAAAAAAAATTAGTCTGTCTGATGCCTGAGTTCTAAGACACTTTGCTACTTAACAGGGTAATTTTTCAATATATGCTTATTTAAAATTGTTACAATCAGAGTTGTGGCATTTCTGCACCCTCAATTTTCTACTTCCCACTACATTACATATAAGCACATATATACATATTTTGGTGCTATTGTTTAGTTTGTCTCATCTTTATATGTTGCTGTTGCTAAGGGCCATTGAATCAGTTCCCACGCATAGCAACCCTGTATAGGGTTTCCAAAACAGGAGTCCTTGTAGGGTAGTGCTTATGCATTGGGCTGCTAACCACAGGTCAGCAGTTTGAGTCTACCAGCCATTCTATGGGAGAAAGATGAGGCTTTCTGCTCCCATAAGGATTTATAGGCTTGGAAACCCTACATAAGGTTGCTATGAGTCAGAACCGACTCCACGGCACATTACCACCACCATAGGGTTTCCAAGGAGCAACTGATGGGTTTGAATTGCTGACACTGCAGATAGCAGGCCAGCAGTGAGTGCCACACCATTTTTGTGTAGTCTTTAATATATATTTTATAATTTTTCATGATTATGCAATATACCATGGATTATGCGCAGAATAACCTTATTTTAAATAGTAAAAATCATCAACATCCTAAATGTATCTGAGGTTTGTCTATGTAAATAAGGGTATATTCATTAGGCAGAATTTTATGCAGCCCTGATTAAAATTATGTTTCCAAAGATTACTTAGCAATATGGGGAAATTCTTATGACATAAGAAAACATTAGCTTTTCTGTGCACCTTAGGGTGCTCTGGCATGTTTGCTTTTAGAAATGGTACAATGGTATCCTCACAGATTTTTCCACATGTAAGATAGATGAGGCCTTCTGCTTCTGCAAAGATTTTTTTTAAATCCTTGGAAACCACATATAGGGTCACTATGCATCAGAACCAACTCAATGGCATTTAACAATATTATTTCATTAAAACACAATTCTGAAAATGAGATTGCTTGGTTGGTTGCAGCCTATGAACATTTTGTGGTTCTTCATTGCCTTTCTACAGGGAAGTGTAGTGCCACATTGCAATGCCCTACAATGTATGAAAATTCCATTTTAACCCCTACCTTTCACCAGCGGTGGTTGGTGGTTATGTGCCATGGAGTCACTTTCAACTCATAGTGACCCGGTATAGGGATCTTTACCGGAGCAGAAAGCCTCATCTTTCTCCCACAGAATAGCTGGTAGTTTTGAACTGCTGACCTTAAAGTTCGCAGCCCAATTCGAAACCACTACATTACCAGAGCTCCTTACCTCCACCAGCAGTAGAGAATATATAAAGTTTAACTATTTTCCTCATATGCAAAAATATACCTCATTTACATTATATTTTGCAAACTTTGTAAAAAAAAACTTACTCAGCAAAAGAAAACTTGTCTTGCATGGATAGTGTCCTTTTGCATTTTAGTTTGTTTTTGTTTTCAGTTGCTATTGAGTTGACTCCCAACTTACCGTAACCCCATTGTGTGTCAAAGTAGAATTGTGCTCCACAGGATTTTCAATGGCTGATTTTTAAATTTTTCTTTTTTTTCCTGTAAGAACACCACCAGGCCTGTCTTCAAAAGTACCTCTGACTAGACTCAAACCTCTAACTTTTTAGTTAGCAGCTAAGCACGTTTACCATTTGTAGCACCCAGAGACCCCATTTACATTTTAGTTTGTTTATTTTGCTAAATTCTTCTCTCATGGATAATATTCTTTTGCATTTTAGGAATTCAAGGCTAGAATCAGCCACATCCCCACAATTAACAAATTCCTCCAGCCTGGGAGCCAGAGGAAGCCCCCCTTGGATGAAGAATCTATGGAAACCGTGAAGAACATATTCAAATTTGAACATGGCATGTTTCTTAAAAACATGGGCACTATAGTAGCTGAGTATTAACAAATGAAGAGCTCTACGGAATTCAGTAAATATTTCATTTTCCATTTGTAGCCGTGCCGAAAAAACATCTTAAGGCAATTGAAATAAAGTAATGCAAGGTAAAGAATTACAAGGAAATCTGTCTGTAAATCATAGAACCCTTTTGCTATGTCTCATAGGGCAACCAAAAATCAATTTATCAGAACCATCCAAATAGGAATCCTTAACATTCTAATTACTGTAAAAAAATAAAATCATAAAGTAGGTTGATGAATTGCTTGATACAAACACATACGCTACCATCACCCACTTCTACCTGTCAGGGGAAAGTCCGGGGCACAGTACAGCTTCAAACATGCTACTTGAATGTTCAACCACTAAATATTCTACAGTAGGGATCAATGTTCAACATGGGGACCTTGAAGTTCCAAGAAAGTCTTACTCAGCAGATGAAAATCAATGACCATAATTAACTAATTCTAAACTATAATCAAAGGAGCTCTGGTAGTGTAGTGCTTATGAATCGGGCTGTGAATCGCAAGGTTAGCAGTTTGAAACTACCAGCTATTCTGCGGGAGAAAGATGAGGCTTTCTGCTCCCGTAAAGATTTACAGCCTCAGAAACCTATACGGGTCGCTATAAGTCGGAACCGACTCCACAGCACATAACCAACCAACCAACCAAACTATAATCAAATGTAAGAAACACTATTAATTTTCATGTATCTGTGCAGATAGGTGGGAGTGGGGTAAAAGGAATGAGAGACATACATTAAATGAATATATTTAATTCATTAATTTTTTATAAACTTATATAGCATGTGTCTTTGGGCAAGTTCACATTGAGCTTCTATTTTGGTATAACAGTCATGGTTTTGTTCATTGAGTCAGCCCTAAGTCACAGTGATACCATGCATGGTCTGTTTAACATCACAACATCATACAAGCCTCCACAGACAGACAGGTAACAGCTGTGCATAGGGTCCACTGGCTAGGAATTGAACCCACACATGGAAGGCAAGAATTCTACCTCTGAATCCTATAACAGTCATAGTTTGAATATAAGCTGATACAGAGCTGAATCCAAAGGTTCTTTTGCACCATCTTTGACAGTGGGCAGATAAGAAGGTCAACCAAGGGACAGCAGCTTTTCTAAGCCAGGCTTGTGGTAACAACCTCACTGACATTTTTAACAGGGTATGTTTAAAGCACACCAGAAGATTTTGTGTTTCCTATTTGGTTAAACTAGCAGGATTAATTCACTTTTTTGCCTCTCTATGCAAGTTCACAAATGGTTGAGAATGTGGCTTGAGCATTGATTTGGGGATTAGAAATAAATTTTAGCCATTGGGCAAATTTATAAAATTGGAATCTGTGACTACTGACGATTGACTATATATCTGAGTAGACACAGCTAATGAAAGACAGTGCGTCATGATTCATAAGTTCCTTTAATACAGTGTTTGACAAATTTAAATACAAGTTTTTGTTATTAAAAAAAAAAACTTCAAACTAGTGTTCACATCATTAGCAATGACATGTTACTTGTTTTTCAAACATGAAAGACATCTGAAATTCGATGTTGAAGCTTATCTTTTAAATACAAGGAATGATTTGCTCTGCCTGCTACAGTGAGATGACATGGATTCTGCTTGCAGTTCCTCAGATTCTCAGAGCAGCAGTAAAATAAGTCTCAGAATCATCACGAGGCTGGATTAAAAAGAAAAGTAAAAAGGAAGGTCATTCTTATATAACATAAGGCAGAAAGAGACATACCTACCCTGGTTTCCTGGGCCCTCTCCTCTGTCCAGTCCACTCCATCTAAGGACAGTCTCTTTATCCCTGTGCTAATCTCCCAAAAGTCTTCATGCTCACGGAATGCATGACAGTAGTCAGAATTCTTTGTTCTGAAAATCTGGTATGAAGTGTTAGGAGTAGGTTTGGAAAGAAACACAACTTCCATAAACTAGCAAAGTAAACCTACTTTAAAAAAAAAATCAAGGAGCAATTTTCAGGGATTACAATTACAATTTTAGATACTGGGATCTTTTCTTAATCCATAAACCTGGCTTCTGATGATTCTCACCATGAAGTATCATTTTTAGAACAGCACTGTAACTGAAAAGCAGTTCTTTGTCATTATATTTCCCCCTAATTATAAACATAACACATAGCCACAGTAGAAAATTCTATATAACTGTAAAAAAGTAGAAAAATGAAATTACTTATTATCCTACCACCCAAAAATAAGCACTGCTAACATTTTAAGGTATTTCCTTCCTGTCTTAATTTTCATAGACACACTTTAAAAGAAAAAATAGGATCATACTATATTTTGTTATTTGTAATCCTGTTTTTTCTCTTATTATATCATTAAGATTTTCCAAGACTAAGTAGTTTTTGAAAACATGACATGTAATGCCTGCTTAATAGTCCATTAAAGTACATATAATATTTATGGAAAGATTTCCTTACTGGTAACATTTTAGGGTGTTTCTCATTTTTCAGTTTATCATGACTTCCATTAGAAATAAAGTGGCAATGAACATCAGTCTTGGTATCCATCTCATTATACCTTTTTGAATAAATTTCAAAAACTGGAAATATATATCAAAGGAAACAAACATTTTTATGACTTTCAAACATATGACAAAGAACTTAAAAAGTTACCTCTAAAATTTTCTTTCAAGATGTAAGTAACTTCATGAATAAAATTACTTGCTGAATGAAATTAAGAGAAACGCGAGGCTCCCTATTTATCTTTTTTTTAAATTACTAAGTTCTTTTCCCTTAAAAACTCAAACTAACTGTAGCAGATTGCCATTCTTCTCAACTCTCTAAGAGAAACTGAGTGTCAGATAGAACTGAATAGGTTTACTGTCTCAGGAAGTGGATATGCAGGACAAAAGAGGCTGAATTTAGCTTTTTATTCTGAGAAAGATGTTGTTGTTGTCAGGTGCCATTGAGTCGGAACCGACTCATAGCGACCCCAAGCACAGCAGAACGAAACAATGTCCGATCCTGGGCCAACCTCACTACCGCTATCACACTTGACGCCATCAATGATGCCACCTGGCTGATCCATCTCGTTGGGGGTCTTCCTCTTTTTCTCTGACCCTCCACCTTACCCAGCATGACATCCTTCTCCAGCAACTGTTCTCTCCAGACAATGTGTCCAAAGTAGGAGAGACGAAGCTTAGCCATCTTGGCCTCCAAGAAGCACTCTAGTTGTACTTCTTCCAAAACAGATCTATTGGTTCTTTTGGCAGTCCACGGCACTTTCAAGATAGGTGTGTACATGTTACCAATACAAGTGGCTCTAATAAAAAGATCCACATGTACATCACAAACCAAAGATTAATTAAATTCATGGTACTTTAGGTTTTTACAGCCATGCTTACTTATATAATAAAAGCTACTGTGACCTTTCAAATTAAAATGGATTTTTGCACAAAATTCAGCACTTATAAAATACGATGGCAGAGAAGACGATAGATCAACACAGCTTTCTCTCACCTTAAGCCTGCAACCAGTCCAGCTGGCATTATTTTCTTGGACCTCTTAAATCGAACACCCATTATGGTGGCCAGAAAGAAAGCTGTAACTGAAGAGAAAACCAATCCATGAGGCAGTGTCAGACATGTTAGCAAAGTTTGATTATGAAAAAACGGATTCTATTTCAGCTTCCAAATACCTACTGCCCTCTTTTCCCACAACATCTATAACTCGTATGTATAGATATTATGCTGTTATTTCTTTGAAAAGATCAAGTTCTATTAAAACACTTTATAAATCTAGCTCCTGGGAAACCCTACACAGGCTCGTTTTGAGTTGGAACAGTCCACAGAAAGTCTTCTATAAATACAGAAATACAGGTTGGGACAAGACTGACCCTTTTGAAGTTTTTCAGGAATGGATTTCAACATGTTTATTTATTTCAACCCTTCATTAGATTGTTGTTGTTGTTGTTAAGTGCCACTGAGTCGGTTCCAACTCATAACAATCCTATATAGGGGTTTCCAAGGTGTGGTTGAGCCACCACCCTTACAGTTAGCAATCTAGTGCTTATGCTACAGCGCCACACGAGAACTAAGTTATTCAACTTTGCATCCAAGACACTATTCACTATACTTGGAACCACAGGAGACACACAACAGATGTTTAATTAACTAAGGAGTCACAAAGAGTCCATGGAAAATTATCAATGCTTTTAAAATATATGATCTGATTAATAAAAGAATACTAGGAAGAAAGCTGAGTGCTTTATTTTTTAATAGCATCCCATTTCAGAGAATTTGATAACAAATGTCTAAGTAATAATACTATACTCAGAAGCATCATGTCAACCTTTAGTAGTAAGACAGAGGTAGTTTCACCTGAGGCTGATATCACAATGTAAGGATAACCTTCAAAGAAAAACTGTTTATTGATATAAAAAATAAAATGATAGACAATAAACAGTATGAACTATTAAACTAATGAAATGTATATAAATAAAAAGCCCACTGTTGGCGTAACTATTGAAATGTATATGGATTTTAAAAACCCACTATTGGTATATCTCACTGAAAAATTTTTTACCTTCTGATACAATCTCAGTATTGAAAAAAATATTCCTTGCCTGTATTCAAAATAAGTGAAGGAAAAAGCCCACTATATCTACTTTCCTTTCTCAAATATAGAAGTGAGATGTTTGTCTTCATTCATTTGTATTTCTACCCTAACTCTGCCATGATACTTTCAATAATAATCAATCGTATTGAGAAAATAACCCAGGCTTGGTTTCCAGACCTTCTCTGAATTTCTCTTAAGAGTTAGACAAAGGAAAGCCAACTGTCCTAGAGGATTTAAATACACTGTTTTCCATCTTTTACTTTCCCCTACGGATATTTTCCTATTAAGCCCAACAAGGAAAGAAAATTTTTGAAGGGTCAACTCTGCTTCTCTAGATTCAGTCTTGAGGCAGAGCAGGATCTAAAAACTGTGTGTAAATTAAACAAAATAATACAAGTCTGTGTCTTT